TTGACCTCCCAGATGTGAAAAATATTTCATTTTTTAAGGAAAGTTCATCTGAGTTCAAAAAAATCTGACCATGCAAACAACTGTGTTTGAGCACTTTCATGCAGATTTCAGCATAAACTGGTCTTCAACAATAATAAGCTGCCTATCTAAAACAGTTATGACCATATTGGAATTTTAGCTGGCTTAACCAGTCTAAGCTAAAGCTGCTACAGTAGTCTATATTTACAGCAGGAACTTTTTCACATTTGATCATCAATTCCTCATTTTGTTAATTGAAACATCTCGGTTTCATGGGTTTTACAGCTTAATCCAACCAATTTTTACTTTTTCATGCTAGCATCTTTTGTGCTTTTGGGATGAAGGCTGCGTCTCAGTGTCAGAGCAAACAATTAATTTATGTTGTTTTGAGATGAGAAGGGAGGATAGTCTTGGTTTGGAGGGGGTTATGAGTGTTTGCCATTAGGCCTACATGTACTGTACACAGCGCAGCACTAGTGCAGAGCTAATTGCTCCACCACCCGCCGCAGAAATGTGATTTCATTTCTGATAATTGCTCCAAATGTGGTTCATACAAACCAATCATAAGCCAATTACTTACCATAATTTACCTTAAACCTGATTTTCCTCCTCCACAAATACTACTCCTCACTCAATATGACTACAAACATGCGCAATATATGCTGAATGCTTCTTCTCTCCTGTCTTTTCACTTTAAAGTTTTGTCAACAAATCCAACTCTTCTCTCCAGGCTCCAATTCTCTTGTAGCACTGGCCTGAACTCTTTCGGGTTACCCTCTGCGTTACGCTAAACACGTTTGGCCGACATGTTTAATCCCGAGCCGCTTATTTCGTCTGACACATATTTGTCAAACAGGATTTGAGAAATGTTATTCTGTGATGTTGCCGTGGCCACAACCTAAATGACATTTTCAAATGAAGAGAGAGGAGCTGCGCTGAGATGGCACGCAAATGCCAGCCCATTATTCTGATGCCGAACATCCCGCAGGATGAAAAGCTGGCATTAATTTACTAAAAAAGCTCTTGTTTTTTCTTTCCCCCCTCCGTCATTTATGTCATTATACTCTGATGTCCAAGCAATGCTTCTCATTAAAATAAAACCATGATGTTTTTTAGATGGCGTGACCGGTATTGTGAAGGAAAGTCGCTCATAAACAATTTATAAACAGTAAAGCTATCAGGAAATAAATTTTCTTTTTAATATTGTCGACAGAGTTGGGCGGCTATCAGAAAACATCACTCAGAATGAGACGGACGTCTGATGTCTGACAGATTTATGACAGTGTCATGATTATAACTGTCGCAATTGCTCTCAATTACAGTGATCACCTTCTCACAGTGTGTTAACGCTCTTCCTGCCCATCACTTCTACAGATGTGAACACGTATGTGGGATTGGGGTAATAATCTTCTTTCACACAGAGCTGTTGCAGGATTATGAGATCATGTGGATTGAGGGGTGAAAGGTTAAATGCTTATTGCTCTGCAATACATTGAGTGGAATGGACCATTTTCATATCTCCCTGGGTTTGGTAAAATGGGAGACCATAGCACATGTTATTGCAGCATATCCTTCCACAGCAAAATGAAAAATTAAAGAGATAGTTCACCCAAAAATGAAAATGCTGTCAGTGGTTACTTAGTACGTTGATGCATTGCTGCCACACACATATTTTTTTTCCATTCAATTATGTCATAATAATGAGATGTTATGTCGTTTTAACGACATCTTTTCTCGTTAAAACAACATCTTTTCTCGTAATAACGAGATGTTTTCTCGTTAAAACGACATCTTTTCTCGTCTTAACAATATCTTTTCTCGTTAAAACGACATATTTTCTCGTTAAAACGAGATGTTTTCTCGTTAAAACGACATATTTTTTCTCGTAATAACGACATATTATGTCATAAAAATGACATGTTTTCCCGTTATTATAGATAGGCTATATGGTACATTATGTGAGCGAGCTAAGCGACTGTCCGCGCTGCTGTCGCCACAGTCTGACATAAACGAGGATCTGCACGCTGCTGAAATTATTGAAATACACTGTTTTAAATGTATTTTAATGTAATGGTTTTAATTGTAGCGGCATGTTTATTAGGATTAATCTCCAATCTGTCTACAATATATATATGCTATCCAATAACTGCACTCAGACCCATGACTCTTTTAGGCTATGATCAGATCAAAACTGGGCTTAATATTTCTTTATTTGAATGACTGAAGTTTGATTTAACAACAAATCGAAATAGGAACAAAAAGAAATAAAGAGATTTTCTAATAGGCTAATAATAATAATCTATAATAACGGGAAAACATGACGTTTTTATGACATAATATGTCGTTATTACGAGAAAAAAGATGTCGTTTTAACGAGAAAAGATGTCGTTATTACGAGAAAAGATGTCGTTAAAACGAGAAAAGATGTGGTGACGCATTGCTGCCACACACATATTATTTTTTGCACTCAATTATGTCGTAATAACGAGATATGTCGTTTTAATGACATCTTTTCTCATTTTAACGACATCTTTTCTCGTTTTAACGACATCTTTTCTCGTAATAACGACATCTTTTCTCGTGAAAACGACATCTTTTTTCTCGTAATAACGACATATTATGTCATAAAAACGACATGGTTATTATAGATAGGCTATATGGTACATTATGTGAGCGAGCGAGTCCGCGATGTCGTTAAAATGAGAAAAGATGTCATTAAAACGACATAACATCTCGTTCTTACGACATAATTGAGTGGAAAAAATAATATGTGTGTGGCAGCAATGTGTCACCATAACTTAGCCTCTTGTTGTTCTGTGGAACATGAAAGAGTTTTGGTTCACATTGACTTCTATTATATGGACACAATTGAAGTCAACATTTTTCAAAATATCTTTCTTTTTGTTTTGCAAAAGAAAAACATGCATACAGGTTTGGAACAACCTGAGGGTGAATTAATGATGACAGTGTTTTAATTTTTGGGTGCACTATCCCTTTAAATTTTACACATTCACCCTCATAATTGAAGAGATATGTCAAAAAAATATATTAGTAGCCTTTCAATAACCTTGGGCCACTATAATTAGTTTCATTGATGCAACAGTGTTGACTTGTTTACTAGATTAATGCCAGTGTCATATGACACAAAGTAGTGATAGCTATACATTAAATAATGCCCATTAAGCGAGAATAAAGATTGCTAGATTTACCCTGCTAATAATTAAAGATAAAATACATTACTGAACTCTGTGAAATAGTCCACAATCCAAAATGGTAGTTAAATATTTACAACACATGAATAAAATATCAGTGATAATGTATATTTATAACATTTATGTACAGAAAAAAGAATCAGGAGATATAAGGGCGCCTCAGCAAAAGCAAAGCTATTGAATGACAGGATGCAACAATAATGTTGGTGGTGATTAATTCATAAAGCTTCTGTATTTGGTGAACACAGATTTTAATGAGTTTACAATAATAATATTTCAAAACCATCTACAAACGGCAGATCATACGCACCAGAGGACACATAAATATTCCCTCTTAAGATGAGTAAATATCCAAAGAAATGACCGATGATCTGTGCAGAATAATTGCATGTATCATTTGTTTTTGAGAAACTCTCACACACACACACACACACACAAACACACTCATGCATAGAGTTCTTTTCAATGTCAATCTCTTTAAGGGACAATAGCGCCATCACGTGTTCATTCAATACAAATTGCCACATTCTTTCATATTACCATATCAGGAGATGCTCAAACATAAGACATTTACATTGAAAGAGTCACACAGTAAATACGTTAACCAAAATATGTTAGATTTAAGGATATGTTATATCAAATGTAAAATGTGTGTGTGTGTGTGTGTGTGTGTGTGTGTGTGTGTGTGTGTCACTGATA